CACCCCTGTTTTGTATGGAATGGCCGCTTTCACGATCCACTCGTAGTTAAGCCTTGATCTGGACACCAATATCCGTCTTATTTACCGCCTATTTAATCCCACCGTGTATCCGCTATCTCGCAGGCGCTTTTGCACTTCAAGTTGTTCTGTTCTTTAGTCGACCTTCTCTGAATACAGAGCTTTCACTCTCCTAAGCAACGTTGAATCTATACTAGATTACACTGCCTTTGAATCCGCTGGGTAGTAGTTTCAGACCGCAAAACTATCTGTTGATTTTCGGTGAACAGTGGTTTTAATTTCCCACCACAGTTGCGTGTCATGCAGTCAAGGAAATATGGTGTAGCCAATGTGGGCTCTAGCGCCATGCTAAACTAAATGTGAGGGTCCAACTTGTTAAGATATTGCAAGAATTCGCTGATTTTATCCCGCTTAATTACAACGAACATGTCACCTGCGTTACGCCAAAAACCTCGTGATGGACACCCCAGTCCGTTTAAAGCTTTTTGCTTAAAGTTTTCCATGTGCATGTTGGCTAAAATCGGGGTTATTGGTGAGCCGGTCGCTAAACCCTGTTTTTGAGAGTATGTATTTGAGTGGGAAAAAATAACTAAGTTTAGTTAGAGGTAACGGAAGTTCTTGAAGCTTTGTGTCTGCTAGTCCTTTAGAAACTGGCTGATGCATACTGCTCATCCAGGAAGCTGCCGTAGAGACGGGTTGTATTTGGGAACAGCACACTACCTGATGTTCGCCAGCTTGCGTTCCAAATGATCGTAACTATTAGTCGAGGCAGAATACCGGGAGAATACTCCGCTAACTGCTGAGAATATCCTATGATAATTTGAACGGACGCTGTTTGTTTTGTCTAGGGCAGGATTCACACTATCCAAAGCCCTGATGATCTATGTCAATAATTTTCCCACATCTAGACCAACCAGGGATTCTGCGCTCTTGAAAGAATATGCTCCCCAGTTTGCCTGCTCTATGCATAGACTGATCAGGGGCACGTGATGCTTATTATATACAAGTGGCCCAGTACGGGGACCTTGATTATTGCAGTGGCGGGGCATGCAAAATTAGCGGCAGCGGCCGGTTAATCCACACCTCTGTAACTCCGTCTTTACGAGTGCAAATTGTTCGTCGGGTTTGTCCACATTGTTCTTCAGGTGTGCAGTGGTCAAAGGCCCTATGTAGTCTCTAGTGAACAGAGCAAATTACTGATGTAAGTCAGACACAAAGTCACAAAGAGAAAAATACAAGTAAATCTTGCCTCACAGTTCAAAATAGGAGATTCCGTAGTTGCGTATTCCGTTGAACCACCACACCGAGAATAGTTCTATCTTCCTGGTATCCCAGATCCCCGGTGGTCGAAATATTATTCCACAAGCGTGAATATATTAGTCCGGTGTTTGTAGCCGAAATGTTTGTTCACGCTTAGTGTTAGCAGCGGTCAAATATAGCCAACCGGCGGTCACAACATCAGTCACTCAGCAAAAGTCTCAAAGTCACGTTGGAGCCAACGAGCGGGTGGTAGCGGTTGTATTTCAGTAAAACAAACTTTTGTACAGCGATGTGACTGATAATGATGGGAAAAAGGAAGGTGATACTGAGCATGAAAAGCAGCAGTTTACAAGTGCTACAGAACTCCCCCCTAGTGCGTCAAGTGGGTGAGCAAGACGCTCGAAAAGGAAATGCGTCACGACAGTTAGTCTTTGAAACGAACAGGAAGTGTGCATTGTCGACCAGATCTTGTGAGTGAAGGGGCGTCTATGGTATTGGTGGTGGCACTGGTCGAAGGAGAGATCGTGTGACTGTGCGGTTGTGTAACGGAGGGGGTCGTAGTACGCTCATCATCAGAGGTTAGTCATGCGTGCATGTAACCAACTTTCAGTCGATTGATGCTAACTGTGTCTTTGCGGCCGTTACGATCAATGACAAAAGTTTTGTCTTTCCGAGAAATGACTCTGAAAGGCCCTTCGTATGGCGGTTGTAAGGGCTTTCTGACCGCATCGACGCGCACAAAAACATAGTCACATGTAGCAAGGTCTGGATGTACATGAGTAGGCTTGCGAGTTTGTCGAGTAGGTGAAGGACGGATATCACGCATGTATTGGCGAAGCCTGGAAGCGTAGGAATTAGGGTCCGTTTCACCAGTTGTTGCAGAGTCGACTATCATTTCACCTGGAAGACGTAAGGTAGTGCCGAAGACGAGTTCAGCGGTTGTGCAGCCCAAGTCTTCTTTAACAGTATTGCGTATACTGAGAAGAATGAGTGAGAGGCGTTCCGACCAGTGTGTGCTAGACGAGGCTATCAGCGATGCCTTAAGCTGTCGATGGAAGCGTTCGACCATGCCGTTGGCAGCCGGATGGTATGCAGTTGTTCGGAAGTGGTCTGTACCAAGTAGTCGTTTGAGGTCATGAAAAAGTGTTGAAGTGAATTGTGGACCTCAGTCAGTGGTAATGGTAGCGGGTACACCGAATGTAGCGATCCAGATATCGACAAACGTTCTAGCAACGTTTTCGGCAGAGGTGTCGTTGATCGGAATGGCCATGGGCCAGCGTGTGAAACGGTCGACACAGGTGAGTATGTGTGTGAAACCTCTGGATGGGGGCAACGGCCCAACCAGATCAATGTGTACATTTCGAAAGCGTGAGTCGGGAAGCTGAAAAATACCAGTTGGAGAAATGGTGTGTCGGTGGATCTTGCTCTTCTGACAGTCAAGACATTGCTTGGCCCAAGTGCGTATCTCCTTTTGCATATTCGGCCAAACGTATCTTTGTGACACCAGTTTGGCAGTTGCTCGTATGCTGGGATGAGAAAGTGAGTGGAAGTGGTCGAATACAGAGCGTCTATGTTTTTCAGGAACAAAAGGTCTTGGGCGTCCTGTGGATATGTCACAAACAATGAAACTGTCAGAGTTGAGGAGCGGTAGTGTGACGAATTTGAGAGATGGAAGGCTGGAAAAATTCGGGAATTCGGGTTCCAATAGCTGATCAGAGGCAATGGCTTGTAGGTCGATTGGAATCGTTGCTATGTTGTTTATCTCAATGCGGGAGAGGGCGTCTGCAACGACGTTTTCAGACCCTTCGATGTAGCGTATGTCAGTTGTAAACTGAGCAATGAAATCTAAATGTCGGTTCTCTCGTGGTGAATGTTTGTCTTGAGATGTTCTCAAGGCAAAAACGAGAGGTTTATGGTCCGTGTAGATAGTGAAGTTTCTTCCTTCGAGAATGTATCGAAAATGCTTGACCGCTAGATAGATCGCTAGGAGCTCTCTACCAAAGGTGCTGTAGCGGGTTTGTGCGAGTTGCAGTTTGCGAGAGAAGAAACAGTGTTTGAATGCTGTCATTCGCTACCTGCTGAAGGACCGCACCAACAGCGGTCTGTGATGCGTCCGTTTTCAGCATGAGTCGGCAATCACGACTAGGGTTCAAATGACCCAGGGTGGTGACTTCCGAAAGAGCGGTTTTAATGGCGTTGAGAGCAGAGATGGCTTGGTCATTGAATTGTAACCGTTTGTTGTTTGCTTTTAGCAGGTCGGTTAGCGGTGCGAGGATCTCTGAGCAGTGTGGGATTAATCTGCCGTAATAACTGACCATACCAAAAAATCGACGAAGGCTTCGAGTTGGCTGAGGTAAGGGGTAGTCTAAAATAGCAGTGGTTTTAACTGGCAGTGGCCGGATTCCTTCGGAGTTAATACGATGGCCGAGGAAGTCAAGATGATCTGCTGCGAAAACACACTTATCTGGATTGATAGTGATACCATATTTTTTGAAACGTGCGAAGACGGCTTGTAAGTGTAAGTTGTGTTCTTCGATCGTTTTGCTTGCCACCAACACATCGTCAATGTAAGCGAGAACGTGGTCCAAACCACGCAGTACCTGGTCTATGAAGAGTTGGAACGTTTGAGCGGCGTTCCGAAGACCAAAGGGCATGCGTGTAACTTCGAATAGACCAAAGGGTGTAGTAATCGCCGTTTTGGGAATGTCGCTAATGGCAACCGGTATATGGTAATAAGCTCGGACTAGGTCGATTTTGGAGAAAACGGTCATGCCCTGTAATTGCAGTGCAAAATCGTGGATGTGCGGTATTGGGTAACGGTCGGGTACTGTACGACAATTGAGTGTTCGGTGGTCACCGCATGGTCACCAATCACCAGTGGATTTCTTGGGGACCAAATGTAAGGGGGAAGCCCAACACGAGTTTGAAGGTCGGATGATTCCGAGTTGCAGCATATGGTCAAATTCGGCTTTGACGATTCGCAGCGTCTCAAGGTGTAGTCGGCGCGGACGAGAGTGAACTGGAGGACCGGTGGTCGTTATGTGGTGCTCGACTTGACGTAGCACACTCGAGACCAAATGTGAGGGCTTAAGCAAGCTTGGAAACTTTTTGATCAAATCGTCGAAAACCGGAATGTTTGAAGTAAGGGCGACGTGAATACCGAGTGGTAATGACGAAGCGTCGACCTGGACTGATGGAACGGAAAGCGACGTTAAAGAATCCAGAAGCTTTTGCCGCTTAATATCGACGGCCAACGAGGAGTCGGTCAGGAAGTCCGCACCGATGATTGGGACGTGTACGTCGGCGAGAGTGAAGATCCAGGGGAATGAACGGCAAAGACACAGGTCAAGTGTCAGTGACTTATGACCGAAAGTAGCTATGCGCGTGCCGTTGGCCGCCTGTAGTGTCGTTAGCGGGTTACGAATATAGCGTTTCGAGTTTCCGGCAGGAATAGCGCTAAGTTCTGCACCGTTGTCGACGAGGAACCGCATTCCGGTTGTCCTATCCGTAACGTAGTAAAGGCGACTAGGTGACTGGCCAGTGGCAGCTGTCGCCACTACCGACTGGCCAGTGAGTTTCCCTGGCCAAGGGAGACGTAAGCACATGGAGGTGTGCAACGTAGAGCCTCGTCTTTGAATTTTGTGTGGTACTAGCAAAATCGGCTGGAGTTCCGAGATGGAGGGGTCGGTTTACGTGAAACCGATCGGGACTTGCGTGACATATTAGTCCGCGCCGCTGTGGGGACTACCTTGTTTACCGTGGTCATCATTTGATCGATTTGCGCCTGCATTCGATCGAGGCCTGCCATAAAACGGGTTGTCGTCGCGCTGCATGGGCTGTTGTGAGGTTGAGGCTATAAAACGGTCGGCAAAGCATTCGTGGATTTTATCTGCCGTCTCAGTGAGTGAAGACGGAGGGACACTTGACTGGGTAGCCAGAATTTGGCGAGTGCTGAAGGAGAGACAATGCAGCCACAACTGCTTTAAGGTTGCGTCGTCAATGACTTCCCGCATGCAAGGCTTTGCATGTTCCGTAGCAGTTGCGAAGGTGTGCGATCGCCCAGTTCGACCCCTGCAAGCAACTTTTGCAGATTCGCTTCGTCCGAGTTGGCTGTCCGTTTAATAATTGCTGC